AGTCATCCAGGCACACCACGTCTTCATTACAAAAGTGTTTCTTTAGGGCATTTGGGGTGAACTCCCAGTCTTTCCCTCGCTCTCTTTCTCAAAAACAGTATTAACTTACACTCCGTTCCAGCTCTATGGAAAACGTAGACAGACATACTGTTCTGCCCTGGACCTACGCCGTGAGCTCCCAAGGGCAGGGCCCACGGCACCGTCGGCGCCTGGCCTGTTAGGCACGTGGCAGGGATGTTCACTCCTGGGAGTGAATTGCTGTCCCACTCGGTGTCTCCCCGGGCATCTCTCCGTCTGAACACATGGCCTGCTTCCCTTTTACCTGCAACCCCTTTGATCGTGTGGAGGAAGGCCCCACCATCTGACTTGCCCTGTGCCCCACCACCCCAGCCTCCTCCTGTGGATCCTCAGGCCCTCCACTTTGTAGGAGGTGGAGAAACGTTCAAATCCCACTTGAAGCCAGGGATCACCTTTTGCAGAGAGAGGGAAAGGGACGAGCCCAAATAGCCCGGAGCTGGAGGCTGTTTTAGGGAAGGAGCCCTAGGTGGGAGGGAGGACAGCAGCTGGCTGAGAGAACCACAGCCTCATGGCCAGGCCTGAGGGACAAGGCTGGGAGGGACTGGCAGGTCATCGTCTACTCTCCCCTCCAGGAGGATCCTGGCTGCTTCCTGGGAAAGGGAACAGTATGCGAAGAGAAAGCTCCCGCAGATGGGTGGCCATCTGCTTTGGAGACGGGAGTCCAGGCTGTCTGTGCCTTCAAGTGGACGAGCTGGATCTCATTCCTCTTGGAGGCCCCCAAGTACTTAGTGGGGTCTGGTCCCGCAGGGCAGTGATTCACTATCCGTGGAGCTGAATTAAATTGCGCTGGAGTGAGGGGAAATCACAATGTAAGAGTGTCCAGGGGCAGCCATGACAAATGACCGCACACCGGGGGCTTCCCATGACAGATTTTTCCGCAGTCAGACATCCAAAGGCAAGAGGTCGCGGGGCTGCGCTCCCTCCACAGGCTCTAGGGGAGGGTCCTTTCTACCTCTTCCAGCTCCTGGTGGCTCCAGGCATGCCCTGGCTCCAAACCTCTGCCTCTGTTTTCAATGGCGTCCCCCATCCCCCGAGTCTCTGCTTGTTCTTTCCTGTTACAAGGGACACTCTCATTTTGATTCTTACCTAAAGTATATCTGCAAAGACCCTATTTTGAAAAAAACTCACATCCTGAGGTTCTGGGTGGACATGACCTTTTGGGGGACACCACCATTCAGGCCAGTACACACATTCCATTGCAAATAGCACAGCAAAAAGTGGCAAGAAGGCAGTCAAGAGCTGGGAGGCCTTGATCCTGGTACTTGTGGCTCAGTTGTCCCAGCTGTCTGGGCCCTGTTAGCACCTCTGACCTCCACTGCCAGCTGGGAGTGGGGTCCTGGCTTCCTTTTACACATGGAGGCTTGAGTGAGTGGCCAAGGCCACAGAGCTGGCTGGACCTGGGACTGGGCTTGACACCATCACTTGGGGGCTTCACAGCCTGGCTGGGCTGGATTGGAGGAACCCTCAGTGCTGGAGGGCCCTGCGATCTTTCCGCTCTGAGGAACCTAATTAACCAAGAGAAGGCAAAGGTGTTGACTCACCTTAATTTTCACATTGCTTTACTTCCACATATCATAATTTTTGGAATGTGGCTACTTTCCTGGAATCACTTGAAAAAGTGAGGTCAAAGAGAACAAGGATTAATTTAATTATTTATAGAAATTAGTCTGTAATGGGGAAATGAGGTAGGGAGACCCAATGGAGCCAGACTTTCCCCTGCTGCCTATGCAGATTTTACACTGCCTAGGATTGTCACCCAGATGCTGGGATGTCTGGGAGTGTCACCTGGATGCCGGGATGTCTAGGACTGTCTCCCGGTTGCTGGGATGTATGGGAATTTCACCCAGTTGCTGGGATGTCTGGGACTGTAGACCAGACGCTGGGATGTCCGGGACTGTCACCTGGATGCCGGGATGTCTGGGGCTGTCACGGGTTGCTGGGATGTCTGGGGCTGTCACCTGCATGCCAGGATGTCTGGGGCTGTCACCGGTTGCTGGGATGTCTGGGACTGTCACCTGGATGCCAGGATGTCTGGGGCTGTCACCTGGATGCTGGGATGTCTGGGAGTGTCACCCAGTTGCTGGGATGTCTGGGACTGTCACCTAGATGCCAGGATGTCTGGGAGTGTCACCTGGATGCCAGGATGTCTAGGACTGTCTCCCGGTTGCTGGGATGTATGGGAATTTCACCCAGTTGCTGGGATGTATGGGACTGTAGACCAGACGCTGGGATGTCCGGGACTGTCACCCGGTTGCCGGGATGTCTGGGACTGTCACCTGGATGCCGGGATGTCTGGGGCTGTCACGGGTTGCTGGGATGTCTGGGGCTGTCACCTGCATGCCAGGATGTCTGGGGCTGTCACCGGTTGCTGGGATGTCTGGGACTGTCACCTGGATGCCAGGATGTCTGGGACTGTCACCTGGTTGCTGGGATGTCTGGGACTGTCACCCGGTTGCTGGGATGTCTGGGACTGTCACCTGGATGCCAGGATGTCTGGGACTGTCACCTGGATGCCGGGATGTCTGGGGCTGTCACCGGTTGCTGGGATGTCTGGGGCTGTCACCCAGTTGCTGGGATGTCCGGGACTGTCACCCGGTTGCCGGGATGTCTGGGACTGTCACCTGGATGCCGGGATGTCTGGGGCTGTCACCGGTTGCTGGGATGTCTGGGACTGTCACCTGGATGCCAGGATGTCTGGGGCTGTCACCGGTTGCCGGGATGTCTGGGGCTGTCACCCAGTTGCTGGGATGTCTGGGACTGTCACCTAGATGCCAGGATGTCTGGGAGTGTCACCTGGTTGCCGGGATGTCTGGGACTGTCATCCGGCTGCTGGGATGTCTGGGGCTGTCACCTGGTTGCTGGGATGTCTGGGAGTGTCACCTGGTTGCTGGGATGTCTGGGACTGTCACCTGGATGCTTTCTCCTCCTTTCACTGGCCAAGAGCCCCAGAGTAGCTCTGGGAAATTTTACCCAAGGAGTGGAGAGGGGTCAAGGAGTGGGAAGCAGATTTTCTTTTTCTCCCTCATGTGACTCTACAAAATCTGTCTAACCTTGAAGTCCCAAGGCTGGAGAAGGTCTTGTTAGAAAGTTTACAGCACCTTGGACCTGTCCTGAAGAAATCCGCGCATGGGTCCAGTCCTTCCTCTCGTGCACTGCTGAGAACCAGGGTGTGAGCTCCGCAAGGCAGGGAGGGCAGGGCAGTGCGCACCCCTGGCCCCAGGCCTCAGAACCTGGCACACACAGCTGCTGAACCAATGAACCCGCACATGAGTCACAAGGCACCCGCAGCCGAGACCTAGCGGCAGGGCGGGGAGAATGGGTGACTGCTCCGGAGGGCGGCGGTTTCCACACCCAGGGCCTGCAACTGTAGGATGTCCAGGGGATGGGGCACACCGGCCTCGGCTCAGCCTGCAGCCTGGCGCCACACACAGGCCGGGGCAGGCGGGCGCATTTGCGCTCTCTCGACTCCCCGCTCGCGGACAGGAGCCTGGCTTAACAATGGCTCCATCCGGGCGAGGGTTGCCGAGAACGGGGTTCCCTGCTCACCCCAAGGCAGGCGGGTCGGCTCGCACGGGCGGGCGCCGGCCCTCTGTAAGCTCACGACCTTCTCGCGAGCCCCCCGGGGCGGTAAGAATTACCCTCAGGTTCCGCGGAGGCGCCCAGGGCTCAGAGAGGCCAAGCGACTCGGCCAAGGTCACACAGCTTCGCTGACGGAGCACCGGGTCGCGCGGCTCGGGTCTCCGGAGCCCCGCTCCAGCAGCTTTCCGGAGACACTCGCCGCCTCCCTACCGTGACGCCCGGGAGTCACACGGGAAGGCCGGATGCCCGACTTTCACCTCAAACAATGCTCGGCGCAAATCTGCGGGAACAAAAGCGAGTAGAAATCCGCCCCGGGTTTTCCGCCGCTCCGGCCCCGCGGGCCGCCGAGGGGCGGGACGGGGCGGCTCCGACGTGATCGACAGCCCCGGGGAGGCGTGGCCGCAGCGGGGGCGAATCGGATTGGGGACTCGGAACAATCACGGGCCGAGAAGGGGCAGCCCGAGCCAATCAGCGAGGGGGGCGGGCCTGGCCGGCACGGCTGTCGCGAGAGGCGGCCACCCCGCCCACTTGCGCCTCGTCCCGGCGCCCGTCAGCAGCGAACGCGGCCGCGCTCGGCCCGGATCCGTCCGCGGCGCGGGGAGAGGCCGGAGCGCGAGGCCGCGCGAGTGCCGGCACAGATCCCTCCGCCGTCGCTGCCGCCGCCGCC